GACTTCAACTCCCAGAATTCCCCAGCCAGCAGTTGAAGTCCACTCATCTTAAAGTCGCCAAGTTTGGACAACACTGTCATAGAGCCTAAAACGCTTATCACAATTTTGGATGTCTCAAAGTTATGTGCATTGTCAAGAAGTGAATGAGTCCCAGAATAATTAAGTCCAATCTCAGAATGTATAACCATGTTTTTATCTTACCTCAAAGTGAGTGAGATTCAGAAATAATAACAATAACAATTTGTTATTAAACTTGTATGCCATCCAACTCTCAACAAAAAACAACTGATTCAAAATCATACGACAAGGTTAATTCTGTGGTAGGAACATCTGTTGATGCCTCCATAACTCTCCTGGTTTTTTAAAATATTCTTCTTTTAAAAATCAAATAGAAAAATGGTGTGCTGCACAGTCAATATGCTAGTCTTTAGAATTACACTTATTTTCAGGAATGCTTTTAGGCCCCTCTGGAGTGGGATATATGCTGGTCTATGACCGTAATAAAGATTTGATTGACTGGAGTGGGATAGGAGCATTCTGGGGAGCTCCTTCACCGTCTGAAAAATGGATGTTTTATAATTAGCCATGCGCACAATGACAACCATTTTGTAAAAAGACAAGTTTCCCATGGCAGCCATTTCCTGAGGTGGGCTCAAAATTCCAGTTATATCCCCTGAGACAGAAATGTTGCCTTTTCCTGGACTAAACCATCCTTTGAAATCAAGCGCTGTTGATTCAAGACCAAAATATATATATATTGAAGACATCATTCAGCCACCATTGAATTATTAAACAAAGAATTTATTGCCTCTATTTATATATATTGTTTTGACATTTCTTTCTTTTTCTGCTCTTTACTGTCCCTCTTTCTTTATTTAGATTTCCTAATAATCTGTTGTTTACAAGCGCATCAGGAGAACTCTGGAAGATGGTTCGCATCGGAGGGCAACCTCTCGGCTTTGGTATGTTACATATCATACTGGTTGGCCTCTGGCCCACTGCTTTCTCTCTTGCCTCATCTGGATCAAGAGAAACCCCTTTGCTCTCCCTTTGTGGTTTTCCTTTTTTTTTTTTTTTTACTGCTGTTGCTGAAACGCATCCTATAATGTCAAAAAGTGTGTCTCTCTGGGAAGATTATCTGAAAACTGCCACTGTTGCTAAATGCTCCTCCAGGCTGAGGAGGAGGACTCATTATTCTGAAAGTATTACAGGTAGTCCTCACTTAACGACAGTAATTGGGACTGGCGACTCCTTCACTAAGCAACGCGGTCATAAGCGACATGCTTACGATGGCAGTTGCAGTAGTTCCAGTTGCCATCATTAAGCAAATCCCATGCAGTCGTTAAGCGCAACATCACGTAATCACCATTTATGATCTCCTGCCAGCTTCCCCATTGACTTTGCTTGTCAGAAGCTGGCAGTGAAGGTCGCAAATGGCGACCACATGATCGCAGGAATGCTGCAATAGCCGCAACTACAAGGACTAGTTGTAAGCCTCCTCATTCAGCACCATCGTAACTTTGAATGGTTGATGAACGGGTAGTTTTTAAGCGAGGACTACCTGTACTCCAATTACTTTTCACCAATGCTGACTCCTGTGTGTTTCCAAACTTAGTCCAAGTGTTGGTTATCATCCATTAAATAACTTCAGCTGAAGAGGGAAGCAACTTTGCCAAGTTTACCTTTTGGTAAATGGTGTTGTGGGACGGGTCATGTCTTTCATGAAGGGAGAAGCCTTTTTATGGGAGCCTTTGGGGGAAAACACCAAATTTGACCATTATTGATCCCCAGTTTAAACTACTTAAAGGATAATGCCAGAACCTTGCATTAAGTTTTGGACGGGGTTGCACTGCCCCAGACAGACCCGGTGCATAATCTGAGGGTCCTCCTGAACTCACAACTCCTGCTTGAGGAGCAGGTGGCAGTTGTAGCCAAGAGGGCCTTGCCCACCTTTGTATGTTACACCAGTTACACCCCTTCCTGGATCAGGAGGCTCTCCAGTCAGTACTCATGCCCTGGTCATCTCTCAGCTAGACTATTGCAATGCGCTCTACCTTTGAAGGGTATCCGGAAGTAACAGCTGGTTCAAAATACAGCCGCGCAGACAATTTTGAGTGCCACAAGAACGGCACATATAACACCTTTATTGCGTGAGCTGCAATGGGTCCCAGTCTGCTTCCAGGTCCAATTCAAAGTGTTGGTTATCACCTTTAAAGCCCTACATGGCATGGGTCCAGGTTACCTGAGGGAGTGTCTCACCCCCGTCACATCAACCCGTCTCACCCAGTCAGGCAGAGAGGGCACGTTGCAGGTCCCGTCAGCGAGAGAATGTCAGCTGGCGGGGCCCAGGAGGAGAGCCTTCTCTGCCGTTGCCCCCGCCCTTTGGAACATTCTCCCCCCAGAGGTGCGGCGGGGGGCCCCCCCCCCCCCCCCCC